GTGTGTGTGTGTGTGTGTGTGGGTGTGTGTGTGTGTGTGTGTGTGTGTGTGTGTGTGTGTTTTGTCTAATTCCAGGACTGATCAAGACATTCAGACCTACACTGTTGCTGTCATCAATGCTCTCTTCCTCAAAGCTCCTGAGGAGAAGAGACAGGTGAGGCTGCGGTGTGCACACACAACTGCACTGCACATCATTTTCATGAAGTAGTGAGCTTTACATGTGAACACATCTGCATTTGTACTGTAACAGTGTACTTTGTGTGTATATTTGTGTGTTAAAACATAGTGTTGTAGTAAAATCCAGTAATTAAAGGCCAACATACCCCCTCATGCCATTTCTCTCCGCTCCTCTCAGTGACATTCTTGTTCAACCATGCTCTCATTTCTCCGCTCCTCTCCCTCCTTCGCTCTCTCACCTATCACACTTTGCCCAGTAGCAAGTCACATGACTCCTTGAATCAGCACGATGGGGTCCAGCGATGTGCTTTGACATTAATAATGAATGATGCTAACCCACAGCTTTTCCTCTATGCAGCATACAAAGTTAAAAACACGCTAGGCAGAAGTAAGCTCCAGCTCTAGCACACTCAGATATTGCAGTGCTTCTATTTTCTGCTGAGTTGCCTAGATCATATTCATGTGGTTGGTTGGCAGCAATTTTAAGGGTTGTTTTAGGTGATGAGTAAAGATTTCTCTGTGCAAGCATGTATACTTATATGACTTAACGCCATAGCTGAAAGTGTAATATCAGCAGAAAAGGCACTTATAATAACTTGATCATCATTTCAGGTTATTTTATACGCAGATTTATAACAGATAACACATTTGTGTGTGTGTGTGTGTGTGTGTGTGTGTGTGTGTGTGTGTGTGTGTGTGTGTGTGTGTGTGTGTGTGTGTGTGTGTGTGTGTGTGTGTTTTTTAAGGCCTTGACCATGAGTAAAGCTATTATTATGATCCCCCAGTCTCCCACCATATTGCTGACTCAGCTGCCTCTCCGCCATTTTTTAACCTCCTCTCAGTCTCTCGTTTTCCACATCCATTCACTCACTCACTCTCTGTCTCTGACTTTCTTTCCTCACCGCACACGATATGGTAGTTTGATGAGCACATTGTGGACATCCTAAATTGTCCCCTGACAGTAAGTGCAACCTTGATTAGCACACTTTGTAGTATGCACTTTAGAAGACATCAATTAGTGCATTTAGTGTCCCTTTTTTAAGATTAAGTTATTCTTTGGGATGGCTTTCTTATTTTCTGCGGTGTACATACTTTGCAGTGTCCTGCTGTGGCAGTTTTGTTTATTTTACCCGCATTCATTTCTCATTACAGAATAGAAATCTTTTAAAAATATATATTTGCTTGTCTATATATTGTTGTTTCTCATCATCTCCTTCTGTCTTTCTCTATCTCTATATATCCTTCCTTTTCTTTCTCCCTCTATAGGAGATGGCCCATATTCTTGCCCAGAAACAGCTGCGCTCCATCATCCTCAGTGTAAGTCTAAACATGCCCTTCTCTTCACTTCCCCAGTGTATTCCTCTTTCTCTGTGAAAAAATCTGTCTTTATCTCTGTTCGGGCTTTGTGCCTCTGCACCAGTGTGATATCAGAAAGGAAAAAGACACCTGCCACTTCTGCCTCTGTCTCACATCGTTGGTTATTATCTACTATACTTACTGTCTCACACCTCTTCCCTTCTCTCCCTTTCATCCTCTCCCTGTTAAACCTAATTTCTCCCTCTCCTGTTCCCTCATCTGACTTATGCTCCCAAATCCTCTTATTTTTTTTCTTATGTCGTACCGTCTTCCTCTAAAATGTGTCGTCTTTTGACCCAAAAACTAATCCTCTCACCTTTGCTTTCTCTTTTCACATATGACACTCCCCGCTCTTCTACCTCCCCCTCCTCTATCCTCCTCACCGTGTAGAACGTGATCCGGAGCCCCACTCCCATCAACGATGAGATGGCCCACCAGCTGTACGTCCTGCAGGTGCTCACCTTCAACCTGCTGGAGGACCGCATGATGACCAAGATGGATCCACAGGACCAGGTGGGGGGATGATGCCGACAGGAAGGAGTATGGATGCATGAAAGGATAGGGAAACATCATTATCTTAAAAACAATTAGTTAAAGGTGTGGTAGGTAATTTTGGAGAAACCAGCTCGAGTGCGCTAGAATTTGAAAATACACAATGTGGAAGCCGTAGTACTGTAAAAAGCATGACCAATCATTTTAGCCGGCCCGGCTAAAGCAACTGGATGGCCTACCTGCCTGTCAGCCTTCCATCTGTGCACAAACTTATCTCGTGCCCTCATTGGTCATGTGCGCGTTCGTGTGTGTTGGAGGAGGGGCTCTGTAAGGAAGTAGCAGATTTCTTCCGGTTGTGTATTTTCAAATTCTAGCGCACTCGAGCTGGTTTCTCCAAAATTACCTACCACACCTTTAACTAATTGTTTTTAAGATAATGATGTTTCCCTATCCNACACACACACACACACACACACACACACACACACACACACACACACACACACACACACACACACACACACACACACACACACACGAGAGAGCTACCAATAATCACACATTGTACTCTGGCCTGCTGTCAGTCTGCCACGATTGTAATTTCAGTTCCTACGAGGTGATGAGAGACGGACTGGAGATGGATGTTTGTGGGGTTTCCAGGTTTAGTCACACTGAATTATGTCTTGACATGCAGACTATGTCAAAACAAAAACCCACAACATTCTGAAAGTAAGCACGCTGAGACGATGTCTTGTCTTGAAGAAACTTGGCAGATTTATTACAACGCATGCATTTCTGATGGCTTAATCACAACTGATGTCAATCTGCCTAGAAAACTACAAGCTATACACAGTCATTGGCACACATGAGAGAGACACAAGTTGTGTACTTCTTATATCTTGAAGTCCTGAGGGAAGTTGACTATGGATGGATTACTGAAAATGTACATACAAACATTAAAGACTACACAAAGAATTACAGAGCAGTGCTGGAAGAAGTACTCAGATTCTTTACCTAAGTACAAGTATGAATATTAGGGTCTTAAAACACTCCTCAAGAAAAGTCCTGAATTGAAAATGTTACTGAAGTAGAAGTACATTAATACTATGAGCGATATGTACTTCAAGTAACAAAAGTATTCAGTATGCATAATGTGTACTAATAGGAGTATTGAACAATGTTGTTTTTCAATGTGGCACAAAGTTACGATTTGTTTTTATAAAATACGGTATATTTGCAGTACTGCATCTCATTATATATCATGTGTTTTTAGATGTAAAAAGTTACTGTGAGTGTTTAATATATTTGGTGGAGTAGAAAGTACAATATTTGCCTCCAAAATGTAGTGGAGTATAAGTAAATGTAGCATAAAATACACTTAAGTAAAGTACACGTTCGTCAAAATTAAGTGCAGTGCTTGAGTATATCTACTTAGTTACTTACACCACTGAGTACAAGTAGCTACATTTTTTTAAACTGGAGTAAATGTAGATAGATAGATAGATAGATAGACTGTATACCTAATTACTTCCCACCACTGTGTAACTGTGTATTTTACAGTGTAGTAAAGTAAATAATCTGAGTACTTCCTTCACCTCTGAGTCTAATAATAGACGGAGAAACTTTGCAGTAATATCTGTTTACTGCATCACCACAGCCTGTAGTCTGGTAATATGTAAAGCTCCACCCCAAATGAGGTTGCAATCATCCCCCTCCTTCCCTCCCTTTCTCTTTCCCTCTCTGACTCTCTTTTCTCTAACATTTCACCATGCACTCTGGACCAGAACACCGGACCTGTTGGATCTGAAGGGATTACTACAGAACTTTATGAATACTCCAGTTCTGCACGGATGATGCGTTTTGCGCTTCAGCTACTCAATGAAAGAAGAGACGCGCAACAGAAGAGATGGGCACCGTTCCTGGACTTTCTCCTCCCCGCTCCTGGGGAAAAAGTGGTCACAACGCAGTGTTGCTTTTACCTGTAGTGGCGATTCTTCTGCAGCTTTGCGCCGCTTTTAACTTGGACACGGAGAAACGCGTCGTTTTCACCGGACCACCGGGGAGCTACTTCGGATATTCAGTGGAGTTCTTGAGCAACTCATCCAGGTAAAGTCTCAATGCATGCCTTTAACACTAACTCACACTTTGACTACGCATTTGTCTTTCTAATGGCATCCTTTTGATATACTAACACATGCATTGGTGGGAGTACATTTCCTCAAAATTGTACATACTTGACTATTTCCATTTAACGCTATAGCCTACATACTTTTACTCCACTACATTCATCCTCACAACACTCATAGTTATGAGCTACTTTGTGCATTTGAAAACACATGATGTGATGCAATACATACATTTTTAATATCCAGATTCTTTTAAAAAGCATCTAAAAGTGTCTCTACTGTACATTGACAAACAACAACATTAATATTAATTGACATGTATTTGCTTGGATAATATTTTTAGACAACACCCAAAAAAGAGCCTTCTGCATACTGAGTACTTTACTTTTGATATTGTACATTTTATAATTCTGATAATACTTTTTGTATTTCGACTTATGTAATAGTTTTAATTCAAGATTTGTACCTGTAATGGAGTATTTTAGGACCATAGTATTTTTACTTTTACTCAAGCAAAGGAGTACTTTTCCCCCCCACTGATTACATATTACATTTCTGTTCTGCACATACTTCATTTATTTTTATTTTGCAGCCTAGAATATCAACATTGTAGCCCTTGCAAATCTTCCAGTGTTCCTATAAAATGTTTTATTTAGTAAGCATTAGGGTTAACTTAAGGTGATCTTGTTCCTATATATATTTTATTGACTTTAATTTGTTGGCACAGCAGCCTACATTTTCTTTATCGCTATTTTTAGACTAATTTCAAAACGTATAATATAACTCATTCCTGTTAAATACATCCATAGTGACATAGTGATAGATCTTGTCAGGGTACAAAGGTATACTCATTCAATATCTGCACATCTCACTTTAATTCAATGGCTTCCTTGGTTTAAAAAGGTTTTTGGTTAAAGCATTAAAGTAGAATTAATATTTACATAATACAAAAATACTGTAATATTAGAAATATGTCACAAAATACAATACTCCCTCTCTCTCTCAGACACACACACACACACACACACACACACACACACACACACACACACACACACACACACACACACACACACACACACACACACACACACACACACACACACACACACACACACACACACACACACACAGGATTCCAGCCCGAGTGTGATTGGAAACAGACATGTGAGTGTGTGTTTGATTCAGAGGGGGGGGGTTCACCTACAGCAAAGTAAGAAATATGCTAATCCGTTTCTTCTGAATATAAACTGAAGGGACAAGGGGGGGGTCCCCGCTGGTTCTTCTGTTGACAGAGGAGGAGGAACTGCTGAGTGAGATAAAGATCAACGATGTTCTTCTTTCTTCACACACACAGCAAATACCATCACCTGTTTTGGCTCATTGAGAAAACCCTCCTGTGGGCGATAATGGAACACACACATGGTCATAATCCAATATGAATGAAGGCCAGTTGATTTATGCTTTTCCATTTCTCCAGCTGCACATACATTTTGTGGCTCTCGTTATCCTTCATTACATTCGAGTCACGGAGCTTTTACCAAAGATTGTATTAACAGAAATCTACCAGTTATATTAGTAGCCTCTATTTTGCTGTTACACTCTAATATTTGACATTTTAAATGTTACTGACTGTTGTTGTGCTTAAGGCTCGGTTCACTCCTCTTCCCCCAGAAATATTATAGCAACATATGTTTCCTGTTACCTGTAGGGCTATTTATCCATCCAGATTGTCTTGGTGTGAGTTTCTCAGTGGTGAAGATATTGGCCAGAGATGTCTCTAGGGAGCTGTATGGCATTCTTGTTGTTGTTGTTGAAAATACATATAAAAAACTAAATAGCATCTCTTTCAGGACATCATGACCCGATTACTTCAGATAATAAACATACTTTGTTGTGAGCTGTTCCATGTGGGAACTATTTTTCTTTCTACCAAACTACAACCACCAACTGTATCACATACTCATTGTCAACAGGCCTGTGCTTGTGAGAGCCCAACATGTAAACAGCTTTTGACGTTAGCTAGCTCATCGATGCTAGGTTAGCTTCCTTCTGCGTGGTGATAGGGTTGGCAGGTATAGTTTGGGAGAAGGACAATAGTTTCTACACGTAACATCTCACCAAATGACTGTGAATTAGGCTTATTTTGAGGAGACTAACTGGTCATTATTTTTGTTCCATTACGTTTGAGAAATCTCTAAGGCCTATAGGCCTATCTCTAACAGTCATTATCGTATCCCAAAACAATCAAGATTGTAATGATGTTTGGGTTCAGGTTAGCTTCCTAGAAAATATGGCTAGCTCTGGTGGCGGGTCATAAAGTCACAATGTCGCTTTTACAATAAGTTATCTATAACTTACACGACATTGCATGCAAATGTCCACCTTCTGACCCCAGACCCGGATACTAGATTGATAAAAAGCACTACAGGTAGGAGGAAAGATAGGCTATGTATTTGTATGTGTGGGTTAAACTGTCCCTTAATGGTCTCCAATCTGAATTGAGGCTTAGGGAAAACTTTGAAGTTAAAGCCAGGGTATACATGGAGTCTGAAATGAATTCACTGCTTACAAATTTGAAATAATATGCAACACAACGCACCCTTGTTTGTTCAGGTATTACTGCTACAGCCTTTGTCTAATAAGAAGCTTTTGGTGGCAAATGCTAGCAAACTTTGGGTGGATATCTTGATATGAGATTGTTATCTGATTCTACTGGTCTTATCTATTTGTTCTACTGTTACGCTAAAACTATTGAGCTATTTACTATCATACAATAATGGTCACTTGTTGCCACAGTGGCAGGTACTCAGCAATAACGATAGTCTCACTTTAAACTGAACAAACTGTTACAGGGCTCAGCGCTAACTTTTAAAAGTGGTTGCCAGGCGGGCAACCAGGCATCAG